TCCCCTCGTTTACTTCGCCGGAAACGCCGCCTGCAGAAGTCTCTCACGTCCGAGACCATCACGCGCAGGCCGTATGTAGAGTATAATATTCCAGGGAACGGAGAGACGAAACCTGGAAGAAAAAGTAGACTGGGGAGGAGAGAGGGGGGGGGGGGCAGTGGTAGCGAGCCGGGAGAGGGAATGTAATTTGGACGCAACTAAAGTGGAATGACTCACGAGCCAACCGCAGAGCATCAAAATACAGACTTTATGCCGCCTGACGCGCCGCCAACGCCTCCTGCCTCCCCACCGCGGCCGCGACCTACCTCAGGCCAGGGGCACGCCGGGGGCACGCAGAGCGGCGCGGCGCGGTCGTACCGCAGCAGGACGAGCTTGGGCAAGACAAGGATTCCTCTCCGATAGGGGCCTCCGCCGCCTCCGTGGCCGCAGCCCGTCCCGTCCCCTATAAAATTCGAGAGACTTTGGTGGCCGAGCGATAGCGAAGCCTATACCCTAGCCATCCAGTCCGCATGCCCTCGGGTAGGCCTACAAAGAGGATTACCTGGGCAGCTAAAACAAATAGCTATATATGGATAACTAACTTTTGAAGCTATGCAGCTAAAAGTTCGCGATGTACGTAGTTCAACCGGGAGGACGTCCCACAACTGTATTTACCCATAGTGACTTCTCTCGGGTGTCAGCGCTGCAGGCCTACACTGCAAACCCAGTGACAGTGTACTTACTTAGTACACTTAGAAGCAACTTGCAAGCACACACCTACAAGTTTGTACTTGCTATAGCACATACAGGGAAGAGTATACTTGCCACAGTACACACAAAGAAGTGTGTGCTTTATCTAGGTAACGTACACACAAGGAAGAATGTACCATGCTCAGTCAGTTCAGATTTGTAGGTGTGTACTATAGTAAGTACACTGATGGGTTTCCAGTGTACCATATTTGCACCTGGGGCGTCACAGCGGAGCAGTGCGTCATGAGATATCGCGAAGCCTGTTGCGCAAGACCATAGATAGATAGAATTTATTGTAATTCCCCCCATTATTTGTAAAGCCTACCGTGTTTGGTGCCATCTCCGTACGGCGATAGCAGCAACCCTTATTCGTAGAACTTGGGCTCGTTTCTAAGCAGCAACAGCAGCAGCCGCGTAAGTGTGGCCGTAACTTGTGTGCTCCCGACTGACTAGTGTGTAGCGACAGGCACCGGGGGCAGCGGGGCACAACGGCTGCCATGTAATAGCGCCCGGGGTCAACAGCGTTTTGTTGTGACCGCGCCCGGGTCACGCTGCCGCTGCTGCTGCCGCTGTGACCAGGTGGCCAGGGCGGTGGTCAGCGGGGGGCCTGCTCCGCGGCCCGCTTCGCCTGCTCGGCCTGCTCGGCACACATACCAGACGACGTGCGCACGTGCAGCGCCCGCCCGGCCCCAGGCTGGCCCCGCCCCGCCGCGCCCTGCACTGCCCCGCCCGGGCCCTGCCCCCGGCGGCGCTTAGCTGACGGCGTCCAGCCTCCTCTCCTCGCGTGCCGGCCGCCAGGAGGCGCTCCACGAGCGTGGCGCGCCTTGATACGGCGTGGCGTGGGGTCCAACGGG